GATATCTCACTAGGAACAAGCTAGGGGCACGAAATTTTTTTACGGTAGACATAATTCATCAAGGCCTACAAGATGCGCAAAGTCTCGACTAAAAATCGCTCCAACACCTGGGAATGTTCCCTCGTAAATGGTATAAAGTATTCATTCCGGTATCGGTACCGATCATCGAAAGTTCAGACCGATTCTATCTGTAGTGCAGAGCAAGAACTCATCTTTAGAAATGTAAGGCGATCGGATAAGCCACCAACACTCTAGTCGCGCCATCGCCGTCAATGCCCCAGCGATCTAGTCCGGGCGCCGCCGAACATAAAAAAAGACGGTAGATTTTTCAAAAACTTTTGATACTCAGGAGTGATCTTATCATCAGGCGCTATATCATTATTTTCCTTTTTTCTTGTTTCCAAATTTCAGTTGTACATTACTAGCCATCTTGATATATAGCTCCTTAGATTTCTCTAACTCGATAATCTTTTCGTACTAGACCTTGTAACAAAATCGATTCTTGTCCGATGAATATTATGTTATTATAGAATCTTTAATTATCTATCAAAGATTCTCCAGGTAGGTCAGAATGAGTAAAAGACGTAGGTGTATAAAATAGTCTACTGGATCTAAAAGATGATTTGATTCTTTAGTGAAAACATCTCTTTAATTTTTTTTTTTGAAGTAATAATCTAATTGCTGAACAAGATTGTTCTCTTAGAACGTTTGATCTTTACTATCATAAAAAAAACATGGAATATTATTCTCAAAAAAGATTCTTTCGTATATTTAATACAAAGTATGCTTGCAGCTAATTAATATATAAAGAACTCGTAGAAGAAATTTCTTTTCTAGCTTTCAAAGAATAACTATTTTTTGATCTCTAACAAACTACATTGCGTGGTTTTTCTTTCTTCACTAGAAATCTTAATTCAAAATGTTCTAATGAGTATTTTGACTATTTTAGAAACTTGATGATGTTGATAATCAATTACAGGACAGTCAAGTTCGATGTAATTATTTAGCTGAAGATAATGAAAAATTATTGGAACAATTACGTCATCAACGTCAACAGCTTGAAGAAGAAAAATTATTAAATGCACAAGTACAGAAATAAAAACGAGTCTTATGTAAAACAAAAAAAAACCAAGTTTGATTTTTAAATATTTTAGCTTGCTGAACAATTAACATCGGAATCATCACGTAAAATGTTTTCTCATACATTGATTAATACAGAAAATATTATAAAAACTTCTGAAATACGTATTCAAGATCTTGATGCACAAGTTCGCGCATTAAAATTAGTATGTTTATAAAGCATATAAGATTTAGATAAAAGAAAAACAAAGAAAATTTTTTTTTTTTGTCTAGGAAAATGAAAAACTTAAACATGAAAATGACGAATTACGAGAACGTGCTGTCGCATCGTATGTAACCAGAAAAAAAGACGAAATCAAATTTTATCTATGCTCTTCTTTTTATTTTATATAGTGGTATTGATGAAGGTCGACGATTAATGACTCATCAAGGTTCATTATCATATGCTGCTGAACTTGAAGTTCTATCAAAAGATGAGGTAAAAATAATTGACATAACTAATTCAGTTTTGATTAGAAAAAAAAAATTATAATCATTTCCGAAGGATATATAGTATTCTTTTGTTTAAAATAATTATTCAATAAGGATCTTTTCTAATATGCATCATATAAATATTTGCAGTTGATGAGCAAATTAAGAGAACAGCTTATGGCTAACGATCGTCTACGTGAATATATTGAACGAATGTTAAGTGTCATCATCGAACATAGTCCTCAATTACTTGAAGTTACAATGAATGCTGGTGCACATGTTGGTTCTATTGGAATGCCAACAAGTCCACAAAGACAATCATTAAAAATATCAACGAAAGAAATAGAAAATAAATCTATCCCTCCTGAACCATTAAAAACCACTGAGTCGACAAAAAGTGATTCATTATCTACATCGACTACAACAAAACAATCAAATGACAAGTATTGTCACCTGTAACGTGGAATTCCTCCTTGATTATAAGCTTATTGCTTCTGTTTGACATTATAACCAAATGCATCTTCTTCTGCGAGCTTTCTCCTCTATTTTATATTATCTTTTGTTCGGCAATTATTTATCATATCACATCTTTTCTATTTAGAAAATCAATTTCTTTCTATAGCTCTATTTATTTGCACGCTTGTTGTTTTTGTGATATATATTTGTTTTACTATTAATATATAATTAAATAATAATATTTTATTGATTTTATTTTTCTATTTTAGCTCATGAATACAAATCAACGATTACATGAATATATTGATTCTTTATTAATGCAAATTCTGATCAATAATCCAACATTATTGGAAAAACATTAAAAAAACACAAGAGGAGAATTCGAAATATTCGATATCCTTGTTTTTTTTTTCTTTTCTTTTTTCTATTGTACAGTTCTATACTTCTTCTTAACAAGAGAATGTTTTCTTATATATTACTGTTACAGATGTTTCAACTTATTTCCTAATATTTCAAACATATATTATATGAACGAAAAAAAAAAAAAAACACAAAACGATCATATTTTTTCCTTCATCGTGAACCACTAGTTACTCTTATGAATTTCGTTTTACGAAAGAGTGATGGTTCTTCTTTTTTTTTTCTTTTTCTTTTTATTGTATTATGTCATTTAAAAACATTCCGTTTCTCGATGAATTTATCAGTAAATAGATTTTGTTATTATTCAGAAACAAAACATGTCCATAATTCTAGTAGTATGTTTCAAGAAATTTTTATTTACATTTTTTTTTCTTCTTTTGTTGTCAATGTTTTTAATAACTCTGTATGTTGTATCTCATTTTTTTTTTTTTTTTTATTTATATTGTTCTCCGGTTATATACGTATCTATCTTGTAAAAAGTCAAATAAAATAACATATATAATTCCTTGTTCTAAAATAAGAAAAAATAAATTCTGTTTTTTTGTAAACTGAACTTAAAGAAGATGGCAGGAGAATTATAAAGAATATGTGGCTGTTGACTGATTGGTCACAAGGAGATTGTCATGACGAGAAATAATTTTTTATAATCGTATCGTTCGTTTTTTCCTTGCTAGTGACTCATTTTTATTGCAAACGATAAAAAATTTATTATTTTTTTAAACATTTTGAGATTTCAAATTGTCATACAAATAAAATGAGTTTTATTGGAAATATTGGTAAAAAAGCTGTTGAAAAAGCCTATAATCTTGCATCAAAAATTGAAGGCGGTTGTGATTATGTAACTTCAGCTACTAATACAGTCAATACATTAGTTAAAGGCACAGATCCACGGTAGAATAAATGAATAAAAAAAAAACAAATGGATATAAAATAAATATCCTCATATTTTTAGTGCTTATTTAAAACATGGAAATGTAATTCAATTACTTTCTCGATCATCCGGACGTTCAATACAAATTGTAGTTTCAAAAACAAATCAATTAATGTGTAATGCTGTTGGTGGTATTGGTTTACATTATTCAAATGCTTGTTGGATTGTTCTTACTACACCAAATGGTCATTATTATTTTCATAATAATTATAATTTTCTTGCTATTAAATATGGTCAACTTGTCATTATTCCATCATCAATAAATACATATCCTCCTCTTGAAGCTGAATTTCGCGTACAAGATGTTTTAGGTTCCGCTCATGCTTTTTATTTAGAATCTGTACGAACGCCTGGATATTTTGTTAGTTTTGATTGGAATGGTGAACCTTGTCAACAAATAAAAATGGACACAAGAGAAAGATTTGGTCAACTTGAAATTCATCTTGTAAGTTGATGAGTACGTACTTTTGTCGCGTAAATCAATAATGTTTATTTTCTACTGATTATGTTTTATTGAGATAAAATACGAAAGTTTTGTTAAAGGTCTTAAAATTTCACGAAACAATTTGTTTTCAAGCAAACAAAAGCTTTAAACAATATTAAAAAGACACAGAATAATGTTAAAATTAATATATAATCTTTACGTATTGATAGTTGAAATCAATGGAAGCTTAGAGAACAATGCCCCGCCGGAAGATCGGGTGACCTTCTCGAAGTTTCAAATCATCACTCTCGAAGACAAAATCTGGATAAGTCATTAGTTCAAGTGTTAGATATGTTGTCCATATAGTACATTCCCAGAATGTTTTGTGAAACACAATCGAAAATGACTGTTGAAGTATATGAAAGATGGATTAGAAGCTCTGTCTCATTTTGTATATTGAATATTTCTATACTAATATGTGTATTCGAAGAACTATTTTTTTTATAGAAAAAACAACAATAAAACATGATCTTTAAAATAACTATTAATTAACCCTGTCACTAGCTCATTTGGTAAGAAAGTTAAAGGCCTATAGAAAAATCTGTTAGATTTAAGATGAAACTAATCGTTAATCTATCGTAATGAACGATCGAATTGAAATGTGTTATATTCAAAATATGTAAGAAAAAACAAATGTTACAATCGAAATTATTTATAGATAAAATCTATTATAATAGACATATTTGTAATATAACACATTTCGATTGTTACTAAAGATTAACGGTTAATTCTAGTAGACATTTCTAGATCTATAACTCGTGAGGTCAATGTATAGTTATTATAAAAAACACGTTCTATTGTTCTTTTTCCCAATAAAAACAGTTCTACAAATACATATATTAGTATAGAAACATTTAATTATATAAAATGAGACAGAGCTTCTGGTTCACGCTAGGCATGTACCGAGCTTTTTTTCGTTACTTTCAAACACTTTTAGTTCAAAACCTTCAGCTCTTAAGTGAAAAGCTGAATCATGAGGCCTAACCTATCAAAAGATAGACCAAACATCGCTCTACAAAATGAGACATACCCAAGCCCTGTGCAACAACGCCTTCAGTTTTTATAGGAAGTTTACAAACAGACCCCGACCGAGCCTGACCGAGCCCGAGCCCCGAGCCTAGGCTCGGTCGGGCTCGGTTTGTAAAATTCCTATAAAAACCGAAGGCATTATTGCACAGAACTTGGATATGTCTCATTTTGTAGAGATGTTGTGAATCTCATTTGTATAGTAGGAATGCATCGTTTTATCTTGGACCTAAAACCCTACTCTACATTATCTGACTCATTTGACGCCGTAGTCTCTACCAATTATAAATTTATACTGTTCACATTTTGTCCTGGGCTGAAATCTCCGTTGAACCAATCGAATGAAGCTACTTCATTTTGATGATATATCTCTTTCGATATAATCTAAGACTCCATGTTCTTATGTGCCTTTTAGTCTCTTATTGCATGTTTTCAATTTAACTAAAGATTTATTAGATTCATTTTGATCACCTGTTTTCTTGCACGAAAAAGTAATAATATCTTTTTTATTATTTTGGGGAACAGGCCAATGTTTCTAATACGTTTTTAATACCTTCGCGGCAGCGGCGCGGTAGCGGTAGATTTTCTCTCTTAATAAGTCGCGGTGCGGTAGCGGCGCGGTTAAATTCGACATCAACGCGGTGCGGCAGCGGTGCGGTAGCTTTCTACTTTCAAACCATCGCGGTGTGGAAGCGGCGCGGTATCAACTTTTGGAAAACCATCGCAGTGCGGTAGCGGTAGACTTTCAACCGCGATGGACATCTCTGCTACATAGTGTGCTAGTAAAAATCCTAAAAGAATTTCGATTCCTATTGAGATTTAGCAAAACTATTGGATTTTTAATATATCTAATCATTTAGAGCCCTAGGTCTCAGGAAAAGTTGTATTTTCGAATTTTCATCTGAAACTTTATCCATTTAGAGATCTCCAGTAGACTAGCTTCCATAAAAAAAATTCAGAAGTTTTTGAACAAAGTTACTTCCAGATACAAGACTTTCAAAAAAAATGTATATTGTATATTCTATTTATGGAAAAGACCTTATATCCAGAAAATTTAACATCTTGGAGAGACTTTGTTCACAATTTTTGAATGTTTTTTATGGAAGCTAGTCTACTTGAGANTGCTCTTTCTAATAAAAAAAAATTAAACATATAGCATGAGCCTGGACCGAGAAATCTTGGACAGAAAATGAGCTATTTTTGACCCTTGTTTGGGTCATATCTCTGCCAAACGTCACCATATCGGGCTGAAAATTTTACCACAGCCTCCTCACTTCAGCCCCAACATATGCTCCAAATTTCAGCCCATTTGAACATATCTGGGCTGAGATCGATTTTTGAGGGGGAGAGGGACCTTAACAACTTTTTTTTATATATGTATGATGGATACAACTACAATAGATCTCCATCTAGAGATTATGGGACCAAGTTTTTTTTCATTCTGGTAATTTTAGTTTCTCGAAGTTCAGTTTCGATCGCGAGAAAATTATTTTTTAAGTCATATCTCTTGAATTATGTTCTATTTCTAATTTTCATTCTTAAAATGAAAATCATATCTTTGTATTATTATTTGTTTTTCATTTTTTTTTTAAAGATTACCCATGGATCTGGTATTCAACATGAAACTGTTCAAACAAGAGTTGAAACATTGGATCCATCAGCACCTCCATCATATTGGGAAGCAACTAATGAATCAAATGATCAATCTCGAACGGAACATAAATCGAATTGAACATTTTTATAAATATTCGACCTATTTTATATTTTTTTTTTAGTTCCGTGCATTGAACAACAAAAAATAAAATATATTTTTTTTTATTGTAATTGATTTCTAACGCCATCTATTATATAATGGATATAATGTTGTTTTTTTTTATTATTATTCATGATTGGTTTGATTAAAATTAACCAATAATAAACGAGAAAATTTACAAATATGATGATATGTATGACCTCATCGATTTACTTATTGAAAGAAATGACATAATTTCTTCTAGACCATCTTAGATGTTGGTCTTTTTCTATTTAATAAAATAATGAAACGTTCAATAGTGATAAATAATTCAAATGATAATAAGAAAACAAATGAATGTTATAAACAACAACGAAAACGTTCATTTGAACATTCAGATTTTATGATGAAACTTAAAAAACGTCGACATCTTTCACCACAACATGATAATCATATAATTTCGTCATCGACGAAAATAAAAGCAAAACAACGATCTTCATTAAATAATTTAACTGTTAGAACGAAAAATCATAGTCAAACATCTCGTGTAAGTCTTAATTATTTATCGATACTCATTTATTGAAATTAACTTTGTAATTTCAATAATAAGAATAATTTGATTAAAGTTCAAATATAAAAATAAATTACTAAAAATATTATGATGAAATCTAATTTACTCTTATTGAGTTATATTTGAAAATTCAATTGAAGTCTAATTGAGTTTTCGAATTTATAATTTTTCTTGATACTTTCTAATTAATGAGAGGATATTTTTGACTGATCAAAAGCTACTAGACTATTACTTATCGACAATGCTGATTCCATATATGATCATAAGAATTTCCCTTAGGTTCTATCATACTGAATTTTTAGACTAAGAAAAATTTTTGTTAAAATAGTTTTCTATCTACTTAGATCATAGAACAAAGTAAAATAATGTATGTGTAAAAAGTCTTGGTAGAAAATTGTTTTTTTTTTTTGTCTTTATATACCAAATATAAATATATTTAGTAACATTTTAAAAATAAGCTTCATTATGTCTTTTATCGGTAATATTTTGTGATATGTTTACATATATCCGGCAACATAGTTGGTATTTAAGATGATTTCTCATGGTCATATTCGAGATCCACAAGGTCGATATAACCTAGACTTTCAATGAACAAGAAATTAATCAATTATAAACGCGTTACCTCCTAAGATATTTTTTTTTATCATTAAAATTTAATAGAAGCTTATAACTATTCATTTTACGGCAATTAAAATAAATATCATTCTTCCGATTAATAGATAATTACGACTTGGTTCATATTATACTTTTATTGAAGTATTCTATAGTTATAAACAGATTGTTTTGGGAATAACACAAGCGAGACATGTCGATTTCTAATCATAGAAAAATCTCGTCCTTCTACAGTACAACTAAAATATGTTTTTCGAGATCGGTTAGGGAGATTTCACTTTGACCTTGATGAAAAATAATAGGCAACGTTCGCACTATCAAATAGCATTCTTATTTTCTTTTTCTATATACTCATGACCTAGAAAAGAATTGTCAAGTCTTTATTGAGAATTTATACATAGCTTCTATATGTATTCTTTCTTCTTGAAGATAAGTGAAAATAATTAGTTATGTAATATCCTATAGAATTGAATGAACTTAAATTATATTCATATTAGATAAAAAAAGGACAATTTTTTGTCAGGGGGAAATATTTTTCTAAATGGTTTCTCATAAGCAAGAAATCGCTTAATGTGCTATTTGACCTTGGAACTGTCACATCTAACGAGGGACATGTCACAACTGATTAATCGCGTTTGAATTGAGACTATATACATTATGTAGATTCGAATAAACTATACATAGCCTGAAAGCAGT